AAATTGGAGAATATCGAATTTCTCTTATAGCATTGTGATTCATTTGTGAATAAAAATCACTACTCTTTTTGAGAGCATAGCAATGACAGAGTTGGTTTGATGTATGACAAAAATGGAGCCGCTTTTTAAACCTGTACTATAATCAGTACCGCCGGAAGCAGTTTTTGATTGGTCCGGTAGTTTCATGGCCTTTTATACTTTGTGTGTGATATGGCAGGTACACACGTCCACCACAGCAGGAAACATTTGTTGGTGGCCAACAAGTTGGTCCGGTGATAACCTGACCAACCAGACTGGTTCCGGCGGGCCTGATAATTGTGGGGTTCATGAGTAGCTCAAGTACTTTGCATGGTTTTGGACATGTCCTCAGTTGAAACCGACTTCCCCAAGCGTTCTCTGAGGGGACCGAGGTCTACTCTATCAGTTCATGTATTCTGTGAAGTGACATGACCATTCGTGGGGACCTTGCTCATAACTGCAAAAGTCCGAATCAATTGAACGTTGTACATGTGCATGTAGTGAAGGCCACATGCAAAATGCTGTTCCATGACACTCATCTGCCACCAAGCACTGGGTTCATTGGCTGAAAATATTCTTCGGCACAGTAAAGTTGTGCGCCCAAGAGCGTGGAAGCCTAGAACATCCAGCCTGGAATACTAAGAACACCACAGCCCAAAATTAAGAATTGCGGTGCTGGGTTTGTGCTGTTGTAAAACACGGGGATTGTTATTGATTGTTATGTTGTACACACATGTATTTGAGCTTTACCACTACATACACGTCTGTCATGCACAATACTCAATCTGACGACAATATGCTGTTTCGCTCATCATTGCAGCACAGAGAAAATGAGGCAGATGAATGTCCTGCTAGGGAACATCGAATACTGTAAGACATGTTATTATAACGAGTCGCAAATTTAACGATTGTCCAAAATTCATAAGTTAACGAGAAGATATGTTAAACGACCTTGCAGTATTCCGGCCTATCCACACACAACATATATGAAGCAGTACGGCCTCAACGGATCTTATTATAACGAAGAAATGTCATCCGTTAACTTAAAGCGTTCGATTTACTTTCTCGTTATATATACATGTCTTACAGTACAGGTATAGAATCATGCCTTGCAGATCTCGTTACGGCCCCTTCGATGCATGTTTGAACATTAGATGGCTGTGCAGCTTCAGTTATCTCGGAATATGTTATCCAGCAGCAACAACGTTGGGCACCGATTAACTGACACGCACTTACTCACTATAATGAGTATGCATTGGAACACTTTACCCCGAGTCATACTATAGCAGTGAATGCCATGCATGGGTTTACCTCACACACTGAATTTCATAATTTGACATCCAAATCACAGAAGAGTGGTGTTCCAAACTTTACGTAATTGCACTCCATGTCCTGCGAGCTACAGTAGAATACTTTAATAGAATACTTCTTATAGCACGTTCTTAGAAACAAATCGTATAGGTTCGAGGCTGTCAACCCAGGCATTTGTGATTTCACAGCCATAGATGTTACCAGTCACGTCACTGTATACAGTAGGTATGCAGAAGAAAATACTAGGAACTCTTTGTGGAAGAGCTGTGCCAAAATGTGTACAGTACAGTAAATTAATAAAAAGAGCGAAAAGCAGTGACACGGCTGTGCATGATGTAGATCTACTCGTACCAGTAAGTACAGTGCACCAGTGAAACTGTTGGTGTAGTACCGGTATACTACTATAATTATGGCATGGCCCATGCCACTACAATCTATTTGCAGTGGGCCGCAGTAGGCCAGTGCAACAGAAAGCAATTCAGTAGCTGTGTGCAATGTGAACATCTATGGCATGCAAGTAAACTGCCATACAGCACAATCGATTACTCTCAGCCCACATAAGTACAATGTAGGCCAATCAGTAGTATAGATACATAGAGCACACTCTACATCATACATAGTTAGCACCAAATCTATATTGTCGATGTACTTTGCAATGACGAAATGATGGCAAGCGTGCTTGATTCATCATAATACTGCCTTGAACTTGGGTGGAAGTTAGTTGTAAGTTCAGTGGTCGAGGTAAGCAGAGCTGCTCCAGCTTTCAGAATCCTGCATGAAAAAGGCAGAAAGCAAATGTAGGTATAATAGTAGCAAGCTGACATAAAGAGCCTGTCTTTCAATACAATAATTCTATCCACTGCATGGACAGACATGGTGCTTCATTCACCTCTGTTTCTTGCTTTCTCAGAAAACCTACTTCCTCCTTCTGCCATATAGCTCATGACATACATTTTCTTTACGCCTTTTCAGCCGTGGTCGACTTTCGCCCCTCCTGTTTGATTGGCAATTGCAGTCAACCTGGGGAATACTGACCCTCGATTGTGAATGAGAAAAGTGCCGCTATTGGTGTATTGTTGTTACTCGTGAGGTTGGAAGTATGCAATCAAATGGTCACTAGATCTGAAGATTGTGTCGTTATTTGCGAGTTGTTTTGTAAACCCGAGGTACATTATTCACAAGGTGGATTGTACATGCTATGGGATGTAGAATAACTAACCAAACAAGAATGGTGTAACAATGATTTGAGTCCATATCCAATTGGATGAACCTAGAGTGCATGATTCATTCCAGAAAGGCGATTTCAGTGAGTCTTGAATTGTCAGCAGCATCATACTTCCATTGAGCTATTTTTTTCTTTTTCGAAACGACCCTCTCTTTTCAATTCGAACGAAGGTCAACATACGATTACGGCAGGCATGCATGCACTGATCTTCACTGTATACATGTGCATGTATACTGTACTGTAGTCTGTACAGTCAACTAGTCATGTTCCACTTGGCTTCCATAGGTGCAACTTGGCTTACGGTAAGTGTCACTACAAGTGCATAGTAGCCCCCCTCCGGGAGTGCGCGTGAACAGGAACTGTGAACTGGTAAAAGAATCATTCGACACCTTCGTTCGTTTCGATGGAGAAAGTTCATTTGGCAAATTGAGGCCTTCGTTTCACCCCTAGCCACAGGAGTGAAATTTTCACTCCTTGGCTGCCTGTTTGAGCCGTCCTTGTGGAAGGGTTTATTTATGCATGTCTGCATATAGACCTTATTCGATAAACGTCACAATCACGTGAACCGGGGTCCCGGGAACCAGGGAGCGGCAAGAGACCTGCACTCAGTGCACAGAGGACTTGGTGTGGGAACATAGGAGTAGAAAAATACCGGTATATTACTACTCCCTTGTACGAACTGGGCCTTTCTTGCCACTTGTTTCACGTACGCGTGCCCCAGCTTACGACAAATCCCTGGAGGCGAGTCCAAAAATCATGTTATCGAATAAGGTCTATAGAATTGTTGATCTAGACGTTTGGGTTAAACAGAGCAAGCCTGTGATTAAGAGCTGCACAGAACACAGATCACGTAGAACTACCCAATATGGGGTCAAAACTCACAACGCGTTGGGTACTTTGGTCTCATGTCGTCTCCCCAGGTGCTATGAATCCCTGATGCACATGCATCTACATATACAATGTAACCGTAACTCTACCAATGTTGCGGACGATGACCCCCCCCCCCCCCCCGGCATACAGAAAGTTGCTATGTCCTGGCCCTCATACAGCATTGGGGAGGCACTGAATCACTTTTGCAAAAGGACTAGCCGAAAGTGGCATTACACATTTTCTATTCCCAGAAAAGCGGCGTTCCAGCCGAGTTTATCTTTTAATTTAATGGTTTTCTCGGTTGCGATTTCATACCTGACAACCATCCCGCTTTGGCCGGGATCGTCCCGACATCGAGGGCGGTAATAGGCACCCAAAAGTGCATTAGTTCCATGCCTCACCGCGAGCTACATTTGTATACATTTTCATGCCTAGGTATGTCATTCGATCTCAGGTTTGCAAAGGTTGGCAGGTATGGGATTTGTAGAGTGACCAGTTCTGACTATTGCCACCTGCTGCGCAGAAGTGTCATTCCTACATCCTGGCTGCAAACCTTCCTCCCCCCCCCCCCCCCCCCCCCACACACACACACCACCAACAATGTTGGATCCTATTTACAGGACCTCACTCTCTATGAAAGTGTAGCAGAGGCACTGCCAAAGTATAAAAACAACATTTGAAATGCAAGCTCCATTGTGCATGCATGGAGGGCACGGGGAAGATACGGAGAGGGTGAAAGTGAAGGAAATTTGTTCCGAAATCAAGAGAATCCGAGGAACCCTTGCTGCATTCTTCAGTACGATAACGTCAGTGGGTGCATCTCAGATGTGTTGTGTGCCCAGACATACAAGTAGCACTAACCTGAGCATGAGAGCTGCTTGTCATCGTGGTCAGGAAAACGAAAGGACGAACGAAGAATATTGCTGACCATGACGAACAACAGTGCATATCCAGACGACAGACGGCTTGCCAGAATCAGTCTGGTGCATCTTCAGGAATCTTCTTTCTTAATCGCATTCAGCAGTCAGCTTCGAGGTCAAGAGCGCGATGATATTTTCAGAAGGAATAATTTTCAATTTTTTTAAAATTTTGGAGAAGAAGCTTCCTTTCTAAAAGCGTTCCTTGCTTTCACGCAAGGTGCCTTGCCGGACATGTCGTCGACAGCACAGTGTCGGCAGATCCACGTTTGTACAAGGCTGCAGACCCGGCAGACGTTTTGATCAGCCCGGCCTGGTGGTGAGATTTCGGACCCGGGAGTACTAAAAACCAGGGAGTAGTAAAATACGTGTATTTTACTACTCCCTGCTAAAAACTGCTCGCATCCCAGTGTGCTCAGTTTCGCTCTATCCGATCGAGTAAGGCTTCCAGAAAGGCCCTCAGGTGCGCGGCCTGCGCGCATGCGGTGCCATAATATACCTCCAGATGCAGCTCATATTATAGTGCAGTGGTGGGTCTGATCTACTACCGGTACATGTAGTATAGTAGTCAATGGTAAAATATTTTAAAAATTCAAAAACAGTCAGATCGGAATGAAAAGTCCAACTTCTGAAAAATAAAATAATAATAATTATATCGCTGATGCTTCCATCAAGCAATAATCATTCTCCACGGAGACTATTTTAGTACTTTCACGTCTTGCTAGAGTCTCCAAATCTCATTTGGATGGTGTTGCGGAGCGTACAACGAGAGTGGTGCTTTCCTGAAAACAATTCACAGTGGAAAACAATATTACAAGTCATAATAATTGTTACATTTTCACTCGTCACAATGTTGCTGGTAGTGAATGCTGATGACGTGGGCTATGCGGAGCGACGTGATGATGGCATCTTTTGCACCCTACAGCAGAATGCTGGAATCGTAACCAGTGTGAGTCTGATGGTCAATGGACAGTCTGCAGTCAGCGCAGGCAAGAGACTCGTTGCAATGGAAAATCGTGTTGATGTTGGCCTGCATGTGAATTTGACTGAAGGTACTCCAACAGCTCCATCACATCAAGTACCGACTCTCCTGGAGGGCGGATACTTCCTGGGCAAGATGGGATTCCGCACCGCCCTGCGAGAAGGAAAAATAAGCCTTGACCAGGTGTGTGTGCACACACACACACCACACACACACACACACACACACACACACACACACACACACACACACACACACACACACACACACACACACACACATGCACGCATGCATGATTGTACACAAAGTCACAAACACACGCACACATGCATGTACAGGCAACTTCGCTAATAACGACTGCGGATATAACGACAATTCGCGAATAACAACAGAATGTCCATGCCCAGAGCAAAGTCCATTCTACCTGTATACATATAATGAGACTTCGGGTATAACGACACTTCGCGAATAAGGACACTTTTCTGATGCCCGGCCAAGAGTCGTTATACGCAAAGTTGACTGAACGTGCGTGTGTGTGTGTGTGTGTGTGTGTGTGTGTGTGGTGTCTGTGTGTGCGTGTGTATGTACAAACACACGTGCACACACAAACATGCACACACAAACATGCACACACACACACATTTACGGAACTCGTTGTTTGTGTCTGCCCAACTGTGATCTGAGACCAGCAATGTGGCATTGTGCCTGTACGACTGGTGGTGTGAAGTTTGCCATGGACTGATGTTGAAAGTGGTGTGAACTATGCATTTCAAACATGTGCCCCGTAAGTTCGTGTGCAACAGCAATCCACAATACTAACTCATGCGTCCATAACAATCCTTGTTTTGTTTTGCAAGGTACGGTCAGACCTCGCTCATCCGGTCCGCTTTTATCCGGATCCCTCGCCATCCGGAAGAAAATCGTTGGTTACCGATTTACGGCATATGCCATGCATACATACAGTATGTGTGTTCGATTATCCGGTTCCCTCCCCTATTTGGATGTTTTTGTGGATAACGGATGCGTGCGGTTATATGAGGTCTGGCTGTATTGCATGCCTGTCAAAGTCATTCCCGGTGCTCATAGTACTGTAGCGGACATGGAAATCCAGTCGATTGACCGGGGCCGGCGCCCTCAGCGCGTACAGAACGCTGCGTGCAGTGCACATGTTGATCCGATGCGACCATGCAGTGCATAAATGCATGTGTGTACCGCTTGTCTATGGCTGCATGGCCAGCGCTCTGGGGCCGCTAGACGTGCGACCGGATTTCCATGTCCACGACTATACCTATTCATTTTTTTAAATAGGGAAGATTGCACATCCTCATCGCCTATGCAAAGCAGGTCTGTATTTGTGCATACCAATAATTATGTGCATGGTGTGTGCGTGCATGCGTGCATGCGTGTGTGCATGTGTATGTGCGTGCGTGCGTGTGTATGGAATGCACGTCTGTCAATCACACATCCAGGTTCGGCAGGAGATCGCAGCTCAGTTTGAAAAGTTCCACCGTCTCCTAGGCTACCACCCTCACCATGCCGACGGCCACCAGCACATCCATGTTCTGCCAGGCGTTCGTGATGTGTTTGCCAGTGAGCTACACAAGCATAGTGTTCACTGGACTCGCTTGCCTATAGAGCCACACATTACACATGCCTGCTGGGTGTCCACCGCACGCAGGCAGTTCTACCAGCAGATAACCGATGACGCTCGGCAGAGCCTTGCCGTCTTCGCGTCTCACGGCATCGCCTCCACCCGCCATTTTGTCGGCATGGCGACCATGGGCGCCGACATGCTGGTGTCACGCATCGTGTCCGAGATCAGGCAAGTGTCACGTGACCCGCAGTGTACGAGTACTCCGTCGGCGACTATTGCATCACATGAAGTGCCGTGTGCCGCTGCTGTATCACCCCCTGTTAGGACTGGAGAATCGCAACAGGAATCCGTTTCACCGTCATCGTCGTCCTGCACTGTGGAGCTTATGGTACACCCTGGCTACGCCCTGATGGCAGGCGAGGGTGGCTGCGGGCAGGGGCCAGATGATTTTGCACAGAGCGCTGACCGCGATCACGAAGTCTCCGTGCTGTGTGATGCTGAGCTGCGTCGGCAGTTGTGTGATGACTTGCAGGTACAACTGGTGAGATGGTCACAGCTATCAGTTACACAGGCCACCATGGCTGATGCTGATCCTGTCGCTGCTGCTACGTAGCTACCCAAGCTGATCCAGGTCACGTTACTTCAGAAATGAACAGTCGATGCCGTGCGTTTGGCTTGCCAGTGTGCATACTGCAGAGATTGGCGTTCTGATATCCTGTCTTTAGAGTAGTCACGGCGAATGGTCCCACTCCGACCCTGGCGCTGTATTTCTGATGTAATGTGACCAGGGCCGAGTTCTCTTCTCTCGCTCGTCGCATTGCAGTGTGAGCGCCTGCGACCGATGACCTCGCCATCATCATAATTATGCTCATTGTCAGCAGCAGGCGCAGCAGCTGCTGGCCAGGTTTTGTTGGAACCGGGCGGTGGCCGGTGCACCAGATCCTATTCGGTAATACGTAGTAGCTGATGCCCAATGCAAGGACAGTCAATCCAGAGTACAGAAAGTCACTCCTAACTCTCGCTCAGAGTTTGTTCAATTGTGTCAATCATTCATAGGGTTCCCTGTAATAAGAAGACACCGTCTGTAGGGTTCCCCTGTTAAAATCATAAATACTACTACTCCGCAGCGACATCCGAATTCTGTAGGGTCAGCCTCGGTGATCAGAATACTTGCACTGTTTGCAGTGACAACTCTGCAAGCTTGTAATTTGTTCCGGTGGATGTTTGAGGATATTATTGCCGACATATTAAAGCCATGATATTTATCCCCGCTTCCTTGGCGGGGACTTTTGGATAAGGAATTTGCAGTGCCCAATTTTGGTCCAATTTTATTTTCTTCTTATTTACTTTTTTTACTGTCACAAACCGCTGAAGCGATTCAGTTTTCCATAGTTTCTGTTGTGAAACCCACCTGTTGGCAGGTCTTTTTTTAAAACTTGATTCAAATCTTTATACGGTACTCCGAGAACATGGAATCATTGATCTTGTGGAGCTGTCTAGGAATTCTTGATTTCGTCATCAATGTCACGTCACACTGGTGAAGACAATTGAATTATACTAACTTTAGTGCACTGTAAGAATGTTGCCACTTCCGTTGTCTCCCCGGTGAAACGTGCATGGTATGGTGAGACGTCTTTGGGCCATGGGGAGATACTGAATTTTTTGCCTCTTTTTTTTATTTAACTGTTTTACCACTTTTAAATTATACAACAGAAGAGCGTGTTATGCGACTTCAACACTGCATGTGCTCTGTGTTATGGGGCCCGCAGAAATACACTGTGTGCAGGTGATTTGCTTGCAGCACATACACCAGCACATGCCCTGGTTGCAAGAGTAATTCTCAACCTGTCTAGCTCTACCAGTTTTTTGGGGGGCCTCTCAAGCACCACATGCTCAAGTCTCTCGTAGATCTACATGTGCAACAGCACCCGTCAAGGAATTAAAACCACTGAGATAAGGTGAACAGCTGTGCAGAACCAGCTAGGAACAGCGGGTAACGTTAGCAATGTCCATCCAAAATTAATGACACTGGGATCACCTGTAAACGAAGGGCACGTTGTATACACTGCATTGTTGGCTTAGATGGGCTGGTTCTCCTGTCACAATCAAAACACTGTCGATTCACATGCGGACATGCAAACAACGAGCAAAAGAGATCCGTCCAACACAAGCCTCCATGATTCGAAGTCTTGGTATTTCTTGATGTCCTAGAACAGGGGAAGCAATAATGCGGCAGACATTGTCCAATCGAAACTAGTGCGTGCTGCGAGAAATGATAATAATAATATGTAGAATTTGATAGGACCCGACGCGGGCATAGCATGGAATTCCACTCATTGCCTTGCATACACTGCAGACTGCTGTAGGGAATTCTAAAGTAAATTACTAAAAACTAAAATCAAGTCTTCATGGCAACTCAGTATTATTTTTAATATTAAAATACTAAAAATGCAGAACTCTATGCAACCTGCATTTCTCAACAATTTTCTGACGCACAGGGCGCAGAAAAGCTCGCCTGAGAGAATTGAGAGTTCAGCTTTGCAGACCCGGTAGCGTTGTATACATGAGTAGCAGCAGTTTGAAAATGAACAATGATACTCGTAGCATTCATAGTTTGGAAGAATCAAGGACAAAGTCAGCTTCAATGTCATCCCTGCAGATCTTTAGCACTACATGACTCTTTCAACATATCCATTTTTTACATACATGCATTTTCACCCTTGTCCCAGGCCTTGAGATTCCCATGATGGGCATCTATTCGCCATTGGAAAATCAATCAAATAAAAATGAAAATGAAATGATCACGTTCAGTTTTTATGCCTTCCCTCACTTGACTGGACACGGTGCACAAGCGCACCGGCTCTCAATGACTAGTGTCACGGTGCTAGGCTACTGATAGTCCAGGACTCTCCACAGACACTATAGCCTAGGCTAGGCCGCCATTGATCCCGGACTCTCCACAGCTACTGTAGCCAAGGCTATGCTACTGAGTCCAAGACTCTCCACAGACACTATAGCCTAGGCTAGGCCGCCATTGATCCAGGACTCTCCACAGACACGATAGCCTAGGCTAGGCCGCCATTGATCCAGGACTCTCCACAGACACGATATCCTAGGCTAGGCTACTGATAGTCCAGGACTCTCCACAGACACTGTAGCCAAGGCTAGGCCGCCATTGATCCAGGACTCTCCACAGCGGACAGTGTGCTAGGCAGCCGACGATCCAGGACGGCTGGGAATACTGGCGGCTTCTTCACTGATGGCGGCCAGGCCGGCCGGTGGCGTCTGCGCAAATCGTGATTGTGCTGGAGGTGGTGGTACCGGTCGCAGTATCTACACAGCAGAGTAAAGGGCAGTCAATGCACGAGCAGAAAGCACAAGTGCAAACGTTACAAAGAGCATTGGATACTAGATCAATATACCGTAATGCATCCAATTTGATTGATACATGTTGCACGACTTGAATACCCGGTGTTACAAACCTATCAAGTACACCGTGGCAATAATCATAAATGGAGCATGATTACGGAAGGTTACACTGCAACCAGTACGTTCACCAACAAACGAGTGCCCTTTCATTACTGGTACCGTCCCCAGGGAACAAATTGGAAAAATGGGCCCAAATAGCCCATATTTTATGACTTCAACACTCTCAAGATGAAATTATTGGTGCGACTTTGGCCACACCTGCCGCACTGGTGCCAACACCCCTGGTCAAGAGTCAAATTTCTTACCTTTCGGTCTGTCAGCGTGGACGGATCCCCCACAAGATGTCCATAGGCGCTGTCCTCACGACGCAGTGTGCCAACTTTGGTGGGTAAACTTGTCTGTTCGTAAGCGTTTGCTTCGTCTTCTTCCAGCGGATAGTCCCAGAGGATGTCCGGCGGTAGCAGTATGGTCTGGCCAGTGACTTTACTGTACCAGAAGCGTGGGCAGATCGGACACGACAGCTCGATCCACTCCTGCTCCTGTAACAGAGGGGCAGAATGTAAGGAGCAATAAGAACCATGTGGGTTTCATTAGCCCACGCTGTCAGTCCGTCCCGCCACTACTGATCGGGACTGGAGAGGGGGTTATGGACTTTGCTGGCCATGTGGAATAGTGACAGGGGCGTCGGAAGGTATTTTAGTGTGGATCAGTCAGCCAGCTGAAGTACAACCTACTCGTCTGGGACGGGTGGCTGAGCCGAATATTTACAAAATGTTGAGCCCAGTTCAGTGTATTTTATTAATTCACGTGGTACCGGGGGCAAAAAGGGATACGGTCAATACCGTAGTGACCGTGCCGTGTCCGACGCCCCTGGATACACTAAAATCACATGCACTCTGGCGGTATGCTTTGGCAATCTCCGGACAGCTTGTAGCGGTTTCATAGTAGGCAGCGTATGACTATTTTGTCCCTCGTAGTGCATGTGAAGAGGAGGTCCAAAAGGCGACATGCGCCAAATTTGGGAAATTGAGATTTAGAGCTCAGGTTAATCAAAAGGTCTAGAGGCACCTTCAGGCAAAAAACTTGACATTCAAAATCTGACCGGAACAACTTCAAAACCGGTGTCCAAATACGGATTTAGAAACGAACCGCACATGAAATGAATCCTGTTTTGGTCATTATCTGAAAAGTGATGAAATGATTTGTCGCGCTTTGCATCTATACTCTTCAAACTTACCTACAGTGTAGCCTGTCTAAGACGACCGCTCAAGGGACCTTCAAAACGTGGTCTCTGCTACCAGGTGGTCTCCTTATCCAGGGTCATTTGACTGGAAATAGAATCCCTTGATCCTGGTTTCAGTGGTTTTCTAGGACAGGTGGTCGCCTTATCCGAGTGGTCGCCTTGACAGGTTTTACTGTATCCCATATATAACGCGTACACCTAACATCACTAGATGGAACTACTCACCTCCTCGGTATACTGGTTGCCATAGATACGCAGTATGAGCAGTCTGGCAAACGGCACAAAGTGATCAAAGTCCAGACTGTTCAGCGGAGACTCGGTGAAAAGCATCCATAGCTCCTCCACCTGCTCGACAGTCAGACGACTACCCACACCGGGTGACTGCAGTAACTGCAGGGCAGAGCACACAACACGAACAATAACTGCTCAAACACAGTGTTGCAGAAGCATCATCTTGGTTTGTATCGCAAAACATTTGACTCGGCATAGGGATAATGAATACCGCAACAACCACAATGCTGTGTTGCACATGAACACACAGACACAAACTCAGAGATTCCTAATCTCCCTAGGAGGCGGGAGATATCCCTAGCAGGCGGGAGACATCCCGATTTTGCTGATGCATTTTTGAAACACCTCCCTATCTCCTGACCAGCAATGAAAACCTCCCTACGCAGCACAGATTTTGCGGCAAGTAAGCTAAGGGGTCGTCGCACAAGTTTTCTGTCGTCCCTGAAACGAACATCGTTTATTTCGTACTTGGACCCCCTCCCCTCCCTCTGAAACGAACACAGCTTGCTATGCTGGACGACGAAAATCGCATGCATGTACATGTCATATGTACAGTGTCGGTCGACTTGCGATTTTGGCTCGCACCCCCTTCCCCCCCCCCCCCCCCAAAATGAATCGTGTTCGTTTCAGGGACGACAAACAACTTTTGCGACAACCCCTAAGCATGCACGTACCGCCATGTACTTGTTAGTGTGATTGGCACTCTTTTCCTATGCATGGCCAACGTGCTTACATAACATGCACATTTTCCCCTACATGTCGAGAGCAGGCAACCTCCCCATTGGCAGCCCAGCCTGGAAGCAGATCTCCCTACCACCGACGAATTGAAGTAGGCAGGTCTGCAACCTGCGTAGCACACAGTGTGGCATAAGCCTCATCATGGCTTGGCGTGCCACAAACTAATTGCACCAAGGATGGGTTGCCGAAGGGCTAATGAATAGTGCAGCAGCCACACTAACTGTTTAAATGCAGTGTCACAGTTGCATACGATGCTGTATCAGGCTTGGTGCATCACAAACACTCAAACCAAGGATATTGTGGCAAGCGGGCTATGATGGGTAGCAGCACTGCATCACTAGAAGCTCACCTTGAGAAACTCATTCCTGTCCAGTAGGTTATCCTGGTTCAGGTCATACTCTATGAACATATTCACCATGGTCTCCTCGAAGAACTCATCCTAGAAACACACACAGACATACACAAACACACACACATAAGTTACACACGCATGCGTGCAGATGCACACACATACACACACACACACACACACACACACCTTTGACCTTTGACCTTTGACGCCCATCGCCGGAGGCGATGATAGCAATGCTACGGCAGAAGCCATAGCAACTTGTGCTGGGATTACACCATTCAACAGCTTGCAAGGCTGAAGAATTGACCGTCACTATTCAGCCTGGTCTACACCATACAGCTATTTGGAGTGACATTTTCTGGCCAGTGAATCCCTTTTTTTGGTCTTTTTCATTTTTTTTTCTTTTCTTTTTTTTCTTTTTTTTTTTTCCCGCACACACATCACACCACATACTCCGGCATGCACTGGCTGTTGGTAACCACCCAGGAGAATGAAAGAAAAGTCAGGAAGAGTCTGAGAAAGAGAAGAAAGACGTGTGTGACCATAATCGTCGGGAATCGAACCCGCAATCTATCGATTGGAAATCGCTGCACATACCACTGCACCATATGGCACACACACACACACACACACACACACACACAGCATTTGGAAAGTGAATGAACTCTCCTTCAGCAAAGAAGAAAGTGCAGTAACACGTGTCACTTTGCCCAAGGCAATTTCCCCATGCATGCAAGTGTTCCTGCCGTGCAATCTCAAGCCCATGCAGTGTTGACCAGTAGATCTTGCCCCGTATGATCAGATTCAGTGGCATTGAGCGCAAGAGCATTGGCATTGCTACATGTATCCCGTATTAGCCTGGCAAGCATTGGCACACTTACCCGCACAATGGGTACATCATCCGCAGGTCTCTCCAGTGCTAGCTCACTGGTCTCTCTATTGAACCAGAGCGTGTGGCGGGCTAGGGCATCGGGCAGCTGTGACCATACGTACACGTTTCCACTCGGGTAAAGCTGTAGATGATGAAGAGATTTGTCCCGGAGAGCGCACACATTTTACACACAACACGTCCGACATATTCACGGGGACATACGGATGCACGCATGATATGGACAAACGTACACACATTCAGAAAGGAAAAATCAAGCTTCAAAATCAGTATCTTACGGGCACACTGAGTTTGAGGAACAAATTAACGGCGCTGGGATGAGTGGCTTAAAGGGGAAGTTAAGGCAAAAATTAAAATTTCACCAGTTGTAGTCTTCGGGGTGCTGAGTCGAATGGTCTTGGTCCGAGAAAGCTGAGACGCTCCCTTCCTACTTGAATCCCAATCGAACTCGCACACTTCCACCGAAACTGGGTGACTGCGCCCTACTGGATGGGGATTTGTATGCAAAATGCCACTAGAGAGGTTTTGCAGAGCGAACGTTCGCGCGAATTTTCGTTTGACGTCACGAAAAGCGAAACTTCGTGCGAACGTTCGCAGTTTTGAACGCGAAAGTTGCAGGAAACGCGAAACAAACTTTCGCAGTAATTTTCGCTCTTTGTGGACCGCTGGTCAGCCTGGTGCACGGTGCACCGGTGAGCGACCCTCAATCTTCATGTTTGTGCTGGATCTCTACTCTTGGCTTGGTCCGCGAGTGCTAGCTTTCCGATAGTTTTGGCAGCCCGTGTTGTTTCATCTCCAGAACCATCTCCGATCTCCTGCTTGCTCGTCTTCTCACTGCTCAGAATCGGTTACATCAATGATGCCTTTTTGAATCTCAGGTGTTGATGCGCAAGATTACGGCACAAGCCAACCCGGCCCGTTTGTCTGTGGGTCTCCGGCCATGGACAACGTAGTCAAAGAGCTCTCGTCTCTCTCAGGCCGTGACTCAGGGTACCTGGTGCGCGTGCCGCCACTCGCAACAAACAAATAATCGGATGGAGAACACTTCTCAAAAACAAGCGAGTGCACACGAAATTTTCTTGGCGAGAAACATGCAAACGTTCGCAGTAATGTTCGCTCTTTGTGGACTGTTCGTGCGCGGTGAGCCACCCTCAATCCTCATGTTTGTGCTTGATCTCTACTCTTGGCTTGGTCCGCGGGTGCTAGCTTTCCTATACTTGTGGCAGCCCGTGTTGCTTCATCTCCGGAACCATCCCCGATCTCCTGCCTGCTCGTCTTCTCACTGCTCAGAGCCGGTTACATCAACGATGCCTTTTTGAATTTCAGGTGTTGATGCGCCAGATTACGGCACAAGCCAACCCGTTTGTCTGTGAGTCTCCGACAAGGTAGTCAAAGAGCTCTCGTCTCAGGCCATGACTCAGGGTGCCGTCACTCGCAACAACAAAATAATCGGATGAAGACCACTTCTCAAACAAGCGAGTGCACGCGAAAATTCCTGGGAGCGAAAAACATGCAAAACACAAATTTCGCGCGAACGTTCGCAATAGTTTTCGCAACCCGGAACGCGAAAATCATTGCGAACGTTCGCTCTGCAAAACCTCTCTACTAAAAGCGCCATTTCGTTCTTATAAAAGCACGGATGACCGCAATTGACCCATTATGTTGTAGTCTTTTGGACGCTGAGTCGACTGGTTTTGGTCCGAAAAGGCCGTGATGCAGCGTTCCTCCTTTATTCCCAATCGAATATGGTTGAACAAGTGGTCACGTGCTCCTGGGTGCCCAAATCACCTGGTCACCACGCCAGCAGGCGACAACTTTCACACCAAGGTTCAACTCGAGTTCAACTCGAGTGACAGGACTGCACCTAAAAAAGGTCAAACAGGCTAGTAAGTTGTACCCTGCAGGCACGGTGACCAGGTGACTGGTGTACGCAGGAGCACGTGACCGCTTGTTCAACCATGTTCGATTGGGAATAAAGGTGGAACGCTGCATCGCAGCCTTTTCGGACCAAAACCAGTTGACTCAGCGTCCAAAAGACTACAACATATGGGTCAATCGCCGTCATCCATGCTTTTATAAGAACGAAATGGCGCTTTTAGTGACATTTTGCATACAAATCCCCATCTAGTAGGGCGCAGTCACCCAGTTTCGGTGGAAGTGCGCGAGTTCGATTGGGATTCAAGTAGGAAGGGAGCGTCTCAGCTTCCTCGGACCAAGACCATTCGACTCAGCACCCCGAAGACTACAACTGGTAAAATTTTAATTTTTGCCTTAACTTCCCCTTTAATTTCATAAATAAGGTAGATTCATTATAATCACTGCTTAGTCCCTTGTCTATAGCACAACGTCAGTGCAGCCGGCCACAAGCTTCCACTACCGGATATCTCTCTACAGTAGAGTCGTGCATCTCAGTTCTGTGCATGAAATGGCAACGCGTCAGCCGGACGCTCTCTGTGGCCGCAGCCATGCCCGCTTGAGTTGGCCACTCGACCGGACTGCACGTCTTCACTAGGCCTCTCCAGCCTGACTGGTATGTGGTCTTCATTGGGCTATACCAACCCGACTGGCTTCAGGGGGTTTTCTGAGTCATGCCAGTCTAGCAAGCTAGTACATGTATGTAGATCTCAATTCCCTTGTCCTATCCTGAATTTGGAAGTTCAGTGAAACTTCAGTAGTATATATAGCCCACTCTGAGGGGCGTACCATCTGTAAAACCCACTTTGAAGGCAGTAAATTCTGTAAAAACCCAATCTGAAGGCCGTACATTCTGTAAAAACCCAATCTGAAGGCCGTAAACTTGCAAAGCCTACTCTGAGAACAGTTCAATCTGTAAAACTCACTTCGAGTGCAGTAACATCTTTATTCTATATTAGCTGAGGCACATGTACTACTCCACACGCGTCTATCAATGTTACAATAGCTTCATTCCCATGAAATCTAACCTCAGCTACGACATCCGCACTGGCTTGTCGTATCAAGTCGGTGATTTCCGGCAGTGCGTGTTGATAGGACAGGCAGCCTTCAGGACCATGGACAGCCATGTGGTGTGTTTCCACTAGTTCTTGACACAGCTGTTGTAATGCTTCAAGATGGCCTTCGTGGAACTCCAGAATCTCGCTGTGAAATTGTAGGGCCTGTATGACGGACAAACAGACAGGAGGGGTATGGATTGGATTGAAGGATGGAGGAGTTTAGTGAGTGATGGACAAGTCAATGAGGATTGGAGGAGTTGTGCCAGGTGCACGTGTACCCGGTTGGTTCAAAATCCTGGAGCAGACACTGTGTCCTGGTGATTGCGTAGAGCAAAAGACTAGAGACAAATTACATCGGACCTTTTGTGTCGATGAGGATATAAGTTCATATAACAGAAAGACTTGTGCACTTGGGTGTCCAAAGCTTAGAGCAAGAAGGACAGATAGCATGATAGTTTGTGCTAAGCACCTTCATCACTCAGACACACTCTGGATATGCTTCAATTTTTTCTTATTCTAATAATATTTTGCAGCCCCCCCCCCCCCACACACACATACACACAGACTGCATACAACACCCCAGTTTGCATCTACTGTGAGAATCAACCAAAGCACACTGTTTCCATCCCAATCAAAAAGAATATAATACCTGTTCTCTACTGGCTGCAAACTGAAGTTGGAAACCCGTATTGAACATGGCACAGGCACACTTGCTGACGGAAACAAGTCCCAATGCAGTTCGGTACAGAAAGTTCAATAAAGTTATCGGCTACTTCCACTTAGGCCACCCTTTGTTAATTCATTGTTTAACGTCCTTTTTTCGCGAAAAGGTACGCGGGAGGGCGGAAAAAAAACAAAAGCCCATTCCAAAAACTAGAAACCCCAATCAAACATTTTGACCAGTAAAGCATGTGATATATACAATATTTCTGGGTCTAACGGCACTTGCAGGCATAGAACAACACTCTTTGATGGTACATTGAGCACATGCCTGATGAATCCAACAAAACAGGTACATAGCATGGAGTTAGCATGTAATGAATTCATTACATCTGGATTTTTACTAGGACGCACACCGTACGATATTTAAAAGCCAACAAAAAAAGAAAAAGAACACAAGACAAAGGCATGCCCGGGAGGCAAGATTATAAGTTTAAGGTCATGATCGGCACACTGTGAAACTACACAATCATGTATTTACAACTTCGCATATTATTGGTACTACTACTTTCTTGTTTTTTTTCCGGTCGGAGGCAAAAAGGTACGCGGGCGCGGACGTTAAACAACGAAAAAAGAAAGGGTGGCCTTACGTTCAAAACGTCCTCGGTTGTTATGAACCCGCTGCTATCATTGTCCACGCTGAATGACAAAATAGAAGAAGACAATAACCAGCATACGCCTCCATAAACTTGAATACCCATATGTTGACGGTACCCACTATTCGTCATGCAGCATACAGTAAATAGTGGATATAACGTGCCCCTTTGATTTTCGATAATTTATCACTATATCCGGTGCATCACTATATCCGATTTGCATGTATGACTGACACATGGCACATGACTGTGCATGAAATGATGCATATGGCACATGACTGTGCATGAAATGATGCATACATGCTGGAAAAAGCATGAAAAGCAGCCATGTGTACATGTGGCTGCTTACAGCATACAGGGAAGAATTTTCTCTCAATCACGTCTGCTGCCAGATGCATCCAGGCAATACTGGATCAGTTTTGGAAGAAATAAACTAAATTTGAAGAACAATTGTTTTGTGATCATCACTCTTGATCAGTATATACGATATTTTCCTGTACATTTGATATGGTTTGCTTCCTGAAGCCCATCACAATAAGCGATATATCGGTATAGCCGATAATAGTGTGTATAGTGATATTTTAGCTGTATTTTTTTGTGATTTGATTTTGATTTGGGCGAGTTCGATCATTATAGCCGGTATATCGTTACACCCGGTCACTTTATAAACGATATTCACTGTACTTGGCCGAAATTACCAAAAAAAAGCTTGTTTTCATCATCGAGCGACCTATAATAATGAGTGTGTGTGTGTGTGTGTGTGTGTGTGTGTGTGTGTGTGTTTGTGCACGTGCGTGTGTGTATGCATGTGTGTGTTTTGGTGTTGGATGATTAGAACATTTGTAGAAGTAGAGGTTTCTTCAGGTTTTTGCATTGAAGGAGTTTCTCTGTACCGTGGCTTGTGAGGCATAAACTACACAGCTGAAACCAGACAAAACAAGCCAGCACTTAGATGAACAGCCCAATGACAAAGGGCAAAGGGCGAACATTTCTCCACGGCTCCTTCACAAAAGGATGTATTTCGTGGCTTCACAAACTTGATTGTGACAATATTCTGGCATGAGGTTCAAATGAACTTAGCATCAGCCAATCTGCAAAGTGAGCCCCATTACACCTCCGTACAGATATTATAAGAAGACCATGGCCAGCCTGGAGAAGATTTCCCGGAAATAGTTCATAGAAAACTTTAGAGTAGACGCATGATAACATAGAATAAACACATACTTTTATCTTATTCATTGCAGTTTTATGGCTGAATGTTCTTTTGGTTGATTAATATGGTGGTAAAGACACACCTGGCCATATGGCGGTAAACACACGCCTGGCCACACACGCTCTCTAAGCTGCAAAGTTCTGGCACAGAGCTCTCCTTCTCACCACCACCACCAATGTTCTTTTCATTGAAAGATCAAGTCCCATCATTCTCTGAAGGGAGTGCACAGTAAAACCTGTAACTAAAGACCACCGTGACTAGCGACCAGCCTGGTACTACAGACCACTTCGCCAGGCACAGACGGTCTCACATTCGTATTATGGTTGTGCGGTGCAAACCTCTAACTAAGGACCACCTGCCACTGAAGACCGCTTTTTCTGGCCCCAAGGGGTGCTCGTTAGACACAGGTTTTACTGTAGCTGCAAATCTTGCCAGGATGTGAGCCATGTGTGTTACCTTTGTAAGGCAGTCAGGATGTGCATCTCCAGTTCATCTTGCGGTGCTGGCGGCGGACCAAGCTCCAAGCTACCACCTTCATCCGGTGCATCGGTTGACGAATCGCCAGCACCCTCCTTCTGGTCCCCGCTATCGGATGTCTGCACCACGTCGTCCTTAGGGGATGTTTTCTCCGGCGTTGCACCTGCCTTTGGCGAACCGCTTGCCGGGCTCTTGGCGCTTTTCTTGGACGAAACGGACGCCTTCGACGTGGTTGGTGTGCTCTCGCCGCCGCGGTGTGCATGATCGGCAGACTGCTGCTGCCGAGTGTCATCCACTGGCTTGCCTGCTTCTCCACTCAGTGATATCTGCAGCAATGCATAGTAGGGGAACAAGAGACTCTTCAATCATGGGCAGTTATGGGGAAATCCCCAACTATGCATATTCCTGTAGAAGCAAATGTCAGGACCAGGCTTCTATTTGAACCAGGTATTTCTATGTACGTCAACACTGAAACCAGTCTAATGTGCCACAAGTGCATCTTGAAAATCAGGCTTGTATTCAAACAGGATTCTATACGAGGCAGGCCTCAGTAAAAGTCACTGCAGTATTCGATATTATACATGGTAGTGTTGGCTGCCCGTATTGGAACAGTACACAAAATGTTGTCTGCGCCGCAGCCACTGACCCACACAGCTTCATAGTTACATACACATCCATACCTAGGCAATTGGGCTGTTGTGTTTTGAAGCGGAACCTATTCAGAATAGCCTGACTATGAGACCCACTGTTGTTGTAGTGCACACATCTAGTTCCTGTCCTCCGCTCACCTGTGATGCGTATTCCGAGGTGGCCAGGGCGAGGCTGGAGTGATCCTCCCCAACGCCAGTGTCCATGGCAAGCAAGTGACGCTTCTGCAGAGCACACAGCACATCATGTGCATACCCATACATCCAATCACATTGCATGTCATGAGATCAGTATGGCATCACCCCCCCCCCCCCCAAATAAAAGAGAGAGAACATTCCAGTATAGACAATGCTGTCACTTGTCCCTAATCTAAAGTAGCCATTGTTCTTCACTGCTATCAATAGCGGTTTAGTCGATGAAGCTTGTGCACAAGCCACATATTAATAGTACAAGTGAGTTCTGGAGCACAGCAGAATATCTGGCTGACCAGGTTCTGACCAGACAGATATTCTGCTGTGCTGTGATACTACTCAGCCAACCAACGCTATCTTCAGGCCAATGACAGCTCTGGCACTAGTAGACTGCAAAAAAACACAGTCAACACAGTAGGCTCCTGCACAATGAGTGCTAGTTAGATCGCAACCGGCTTGGACAACTAGGTCCACACAAAGTGCTGGGCATACTTTCCAGATATAAAGAAGCCCAGAGGTTGCCCAGTGACCAGATGGGTAGACAACATTAGGAATGACCTTTTACTTCTCAATATGTCTCTTTTGGAAGCGGAGCAACTTGCCTCAGACAGAACGCGACTGATGCATGACCCTCATTTGATTTTTCATATGAGCTATATGCGTGCTGTATTATTCTTATTATACATTCCGTGCAACAAAATCATGCTGCAAGTCTCGTTGAAAACAAAACCAGGTACACATGCATGTCAGCTGTACATCACACTGCACTATCAGTAATGCACATCAACCTAGCAAATAACAATCATTGATCAGGCATGAGAAAAGTACCGTAATTCGCAAATTGTCGTTATTTTGTAAGGCTGGAAGTATGAAGTCAAATGGTCACCAGGTCTGGAGATTCTGCTGTTATTCGCACATTGTTTACGAGGTTGACCATACATGTAATTGTTATGTCCAAATGCCTTATCAGCATGGTCAACTCAACGCCCGAGCTTGGGATCACGCATGCCAAGCCGAGCTCAACGACTTACCAATGAATCCATGTTCAAAGCATCGACAGTCTGGCTTCCGCCATGGCGAGGAGCTTGATCCCCCATGGCACTGTGTCTACGTGAGTGACTCGCACCAGCATGACGACTAGCACCGGCAGCAGCACCACCAGCACCTGTACTATGTTGATAATGATGGTCTGGTGGCCACACTTGATGCTGCATGAATATCATCCTGTGTCGACGCAGGCATGGTGCAAATAGCAGAGAACACACGGTGTTAATGCGTATTCACACTTGTGTATGTGCAAACACATGCACTCGGGAACGCAGTGACACACACGCATGTACCCACCAAAATCCACACTCACACATGTACATGGCATAAATAGTGTGACTAAAACATGCCCGTAGCTCCCGCATTCTAATCATTCATCACAACACATCACATGCACATGCTTGCACCAAGACCATAGCAGTAGTGCATTGGAGTCTCTAGTCACAATCTGTACGGTTGCTCCTCACCGTGACTGGAGAAGATCCGCCACCTTGTGCCACTCAGCTAGTTGCTGGCCACGTGGTAACTGAATAATAGCGCATGTCAACAACAGGGATACACAGCAGAGATAGTGGTTTAACCCAGGGAATACATAGCTCACCGCAGCATGGAAACACTCTGATCAACTCTGTCACGTACGAGGAAATGGTGTATTTCAGCCCCAGCCCCTGCCTCCCCCCCCCTCCCCTCCCCACCCTACCCCTCTTCTCAAAACACGACGAAACCTGTATGCAGCCAATCAACAAGACACGAGTTAACTCCTGTGTAGTGTGATCAACATCAGATTTTTAAAAAGAAACTGATAATTACGAAACATTCTCATACAGCTTGTCTGCTATGGGGATTTCGCCAACTGAGGAGTGAGCGCCACCGAAATCAACACGCATTACAGTCAATACACCAGCCAACAGCCGCGTACGTTTGCAAACTTGCGGTCGTAGTGAGCGCTGCGCAGCTCTTGCTGCCGCAGCATTTCCGCATGTCGCCGACGCTCCCTCTCCAACTCTTCCTCCTCGAGATGCTTCAGCCAGCGCTGGTGCTGCAGTTGCTTCTCATTCTTGCTCTTCTCCGCCTTCTCCTGTAAACGACAAACACCAGCAATAGGAAAGGTTTAAGCGCATGAATATCTGACTCGGAGGGAGAGCCACGGATTAAAATCAATTTGTTGCACGCTCTGGCTCACGAGTATCATATCTCCAATTGTTAGTGTTGGACAAAAACGGATAACTTGTAAATCTTTGGGCCTCTCTTTTAGCATGAATATCTATTACGCATTGACCACCCTCTAACCAACAAAGCTTAGTTACCCATGTTGTACATGATTGTATGTGAGAGTTATGAACACTGTGCAACACAGAGTACCATAACTACAGTAGTAGCAATGTAGACATGCAGTAGATGTCCACCTCGCCGTGCATGACTGAGCAAGATATCAACCTCGCCATGCACGACTGAGCAAGATATCAAATCCTCCAAACATAAACTCAGCCCTAAGCACAAACCTGAAAGAGAGCTCGTAAATCACAGACACCGCGAACACACGCCTACCTCCTCCTTCTTCCGCTTTGACTCTGTCTTCTTCGTCTGGGTTGCCACCTTCATTGCTTGCCGTTTTCTCTCTTGACGCTGACTCCAGTCGAGAACAGGCGGCAGGCGGGAAGGCGGCCGGGATTGTGCCTGTAGAAGTGGATCAAATGCCATGTGCTTAGTGACCTACGGTTTTTGTGTATTGTTACAACACAACGGACACGTGCACACACACACACATACACACATACACACACTTGAGAGGGACGAAAAGCGTTTCTTCTGTAACTCTGAGTTTCACGGTTTTAACCGATCATCAGACAGCAACTTGACTACAATTTTCAGAAGATAAGATTGATATAGGCTGCAAGCTTGGGTCATAGCGCGAATGGATGATCCGGGCTGATGGTGTAATTGTAAAAATGCGTGAGCTGGTTGATGGGGTGCAAACATACACACATATACACACACACACACACACACACACACACACACACACACACACACACACACACACAAACACACACACCATAGAGCAACGGGGAAAGGAACTAAAACCGCCAGCTAACCTCCTGCAATCGAACAAGTCGTCCCTTCTCGCGCTCCTCCAGTTGCTGGAACAAACAAACAACAACCAAACACAAAATCAGTCTCTGGCTACGGTTGCGGCACTGTGACCTGAATATACAATAGATAACCTACTGAGAATAGTCATTCTCATACTGCAAAAGCAGAAAGTTTCGCTGGTGTAATTTTTTCGGTATTCTCCAAAATCGGCAGTTCGGCGGAGGGAAATTTTCGGTAACCCCGTTTTCCTGGTAAGCGTACTAGTACCGAAATTTTTGATGCATCTTTAAAATTGTTGGCACCGAAGTTAACGAAAATAAACCACCGAAAAGTTCTGCTTTCACAGGAGTTACCGTACCACAAGTTGTGCTGCATGGTTTTACTGCATGGTGTGTTTCACGGACTCTCTCAATGCGTATTGATACGTGTACATACTGACGGAGTCTCTCCTATAGCTTAGAGATGATGTAAACAAATTAACGCAGTGTACGGACAGACTGCTTGTGATCACCTACATGTACGTTGAAACTCGGAACGGATGAAAGTGAATGGCATTGGTATAATTCATCTCTGTTAACTATTCGTCTGCTTGCACGAATACACTACTCGTATGTAGCTATCTTCAGTGTTCCACTGTACCAAAAAGGTCCTGCTTTCGAACATTTCCAGGGAACCCCAAACCACACACACCCTCCATGGCACTTGGGAAGCAGTGTCCCATTCGGTACAATACAATCATCATGCAGACACACCTCAACAAGGTCAGGAAGAGACGGAGAGAGAGAGAGAGAGAGAGAGAGAGAGAGAGAGAGAGAGAGAGAGAGAGAGAGAGAGAGAGAGAGAGAGAGAGAAGTGGGCGGGAAGGAGGGAGGGAGAGTATGGGACACTGTGTCCATTTCTAAGAAATCTCTCGCATGATTGATAACAATGCTTCCAATCTTGATCCAGGCTCAGCACACATACCTGCTTTAGGAGCTCCTTTCTTTCCAGCATCTCATGGGAACGTATCTTTTCACGTACCTCTGTTAGGTCACAAAGCACAAAAGCAATTTTAGAACATCGATGCAGGACAGTTGGCAGTAGGGCAAACTCTAATGATAAACTCTTCGTTTAGGTTGAAATAAGACAGTGACTTTAGAATCCAACCCCGGACTCGAGTGCAGGTTCTTTCAAGCTAGACTATAGTGCAGTCTGTACAGCTGAGCTTGAGGTAGACTAGAGTGCAGTCTGTACAGCTGAGCTTGAGGTACACTATAGGGTACTCCATACCCGGTTGAAGTTAGACGCTGCATTCCGCTTCACCTAGCCGAAGTGCGCCAACAAGTGTATTCCATACATAAGTAAATATGTAAATTATCGTGCCCGTTCCCGAAGGGAACTCACGACGGCCGCTAACACCCGGTAAACCCTAGCGGCAGATGCAGCGCCTGACGGTGGAGGTGAGTGGATAAGTCTCACAACCACTGGCACATGTGCCGAGAACTCCCGTTAGCCGCATCCATGTATTCCGTACATGGTTGAGGTTAACCTAAGCATTCCATACCCAGTGGAGTAAGGTGGCGCACTGCACTGCACTTCGTATACTGTCCCTAGGGAGTTCCACTGCATCTGGATGAACTTAACCAGTGCATTCTTTACCCGGGTCGACAATCAGCTGGGCTCAAACCCTGGCTGTGGTGAATTTCAAACACACATTAGTAGTTGTGCCGGGTCCCCTGATGAATCCCCTCGCGTTTCGACTGGAGGCCGTGACTGAATCTGGACCCAGCAAGGGGAAATCCCCACGAGTAGCCAGTGCAGGCTAAATTTTATTTTTCAAGGAAACCCTTCGAAAATGGTACCAATCGATTCAGCATGGCATTTTCATTCCTCCTGCAAAGTTTCAGCTGATTTGGAGTCATGACAAGGACGCTATGGCGATTTGAAGATCGAAAAACTTCACTTTTGTTTGTCAAGAAGAAAGACCATGATCGCACACAAATCATACAGCCCGTGTGGCACAATGATTTTTGAACGAAGTTGATCCGCGGACCCCGTGCTTCGCGCATGCATGCATGCATACTGCATGCACACAAACAGTACAGAGGCTTTTTTGAACGCAGATATGTAGTTCTTCGTCTTCTTCGAAATGTCTTCCAAATGCGTGGTGCTGGTGTTGTTCTCAGCTTCGTCAAGGCAGAATGCAGCTGCATGTGATGCTCCTGTGTGTTCATGCATGTTCTCTTTTCGCGTCTCGACATTGTAGCGTCCAGACTCAGCTCGACTGGAGAAGATTGAGGAGACTATGCTTTGATCCACATGGAAAATCGATGAAATTTGGTTATTATCGTCGGGCGCTAAAAAGCGCTGGGGAGCATGGGGCTAAAACTTCGTAGCAGTCATCCCTACCATGACAGGCATCGACTGGTATATGTTCCATTCTGTTCCCAACCACTACGGGTAGTCTGCGAAGCTTTCTTCTTCGCCGATTCTCGGACAGATCGTACGTCTTCGCACTGTATCTCTCGTCTCCCTCAACGGATCAAAACACGGTTTTCGCCAGGACGAACACAAACCCCCAGATTTCGCGGCGGCAACATCTTCGAGTAGGGAAAAGCTAGGAGCTAACCAGGAATCACCAACAAACACGAGTAATACTCCGTGTGATTTGCGACAGCTGTCATTGTGCCGTCGCACCATGCATGTACCATGTACGGGAATGGAACACGGATGAGTCGTTTTATTACGACAGCCTGCACTGGCTACCACGAGGGCTCGCTGATTGTATTAGATTTGCCAACAATACATGTCCACACATACAAGTACACAGTACAATGACATCTTAGCTCGTACAGTACATGCAGCTCGACCGTATACATGTACAGTCTTGCTCAATGAAATCTAGTCGCAGCACTCAAGTTTGCGCCTTGCACCATTTCGAAGACCAGAGTTCACAGGTCCAGGGCTGCGCAACGCCCGACGCTTTCATGAGTGCATCGACTGGATTTCATTGAGCAGCACCGCACATTACTTCATACATAGACAACAGGACAATAACATGGACTTGATACAGGAAATACTCTCACCTTTTTCTGAGCTGCAGACTCGCATGTCTTCCGTGATCTGATGGCACACATGAGGAATATCCATACACATGCACACACACACACACACACACACACACACACACACACACACACACACACACACACACACACACACACACACACATACATACACCTTTTGACCCTTGACCTTTTGACGCCCATCGCCGGAGGCGAAGATAGAGCAGAAGCCATAGCAACTTGTGCCGGGATTGCACCATTCAACAGCTTGCAAGGCTGAAGAATTGACCGCCACTATTCAGCCTGGTCTACACCACACGGCTATGAAGTGGCTTTTTCTGGCGAGAGAATCCTTACTTTTTGGTCATACATACAGCACACCCACACACACAGACATGTACACACACACACACACACACACACACACACACACACACACACACACACACACACACACACACACACACACTCACACACACACATTCAGAGAGCAGAATCCTTACACACGTTCAGAAATGATAACCAGTCCAGGTGCAGAGTTCAAATATGTAAACAAACATCCTGGAGACACTTGAAAGTACCCCTACATCCATCATGTCACCCCTACCTGTTAGCATTGAGAAACATGACCTGCGCATTTGTTTGCACGAACACACGCAGCAAACTCACCAGTCCTTGGTTGACGAGATGCTTCCGCAGCTTTGGATCACGTACAAACATCCGCCGGAGATGCTTATCATGAAGACTGGTGCACAGACAGCAAAGATCAGAAACATATTCAATACTTTCCGCTGCCATCTGCAGTCACATGCTAGACATCAGGTTCAAGGGCGCATAAACGTCCTGATTGTATACCTAAACATGTGAATGGCCACGGTCCAGGGTAAGTGACAAAGATACATGGAGACTATCACAAGTAGACGAGGATGAATAATTCGGTGAAACTCAGAATTTCACCCAGCGCCTGGTTTCTCTCCCCGCCTAGTTTCTCTTGGACAGCCTGGAACCTTTCTTTTGTACGGAGAATGTCATATCAATATGTACATGTCTCTCTCCCCTCCTCCTCCTGCACACACCTACGTTATATCATCCGTATCATGCCTGTCATGATTGTCTGAAGCTATTGTCTGTGTTGTGGTTGACTTCACTCTTTAGTGCTATTGACTGGCCTTTCGTACAATACCTATTGATGTCTAGAGACATACTGTCTAGCCTTCCCCTCGTGCGCTTATTGATACAATATCCAGCTGTCCAGTGGCTCTCCTTCCACCGCTCTCTATCTCGCTATACTCTTCTTCACACTCTATAAGTTCGTGTCTTCTCTACAATAAAATCAGTTCAGTGACTGACGAGTTCGAGATCACAACATGGTGTCAGAAGCGGCTTGATTACGAATCCAGCCGAGTTGCTTGCAATGTAGTCCTCAAACTGTACTCCTCTTTACCCGTTTTAGCCCTCTCACTCAGGCTCTCTCTAGCAATTCTGCCTCATTGCAGAAACCGTCCGTCCGCCTCATTGCAGAAACCGTTCGTCTGCCTCACTGTCCGTCTGTCTCTAAGCAGAATCCGTCCGTCCGCCTCTAAGCAGAATCCGTCCGTCTACCTCTAAGCAGAATCCGTCCGTCTGCCTCTAAGCAGCCTCCCTGCCTCCGCGTTCCTACCGGTCGCAGCTCCTCGTGTAAGTCTCATTGCAGCTCCTGCATAGTCCTCGGCCGACGTCAATGACCTCCTCGTTCGAGAACAACTGATCGTGGCCCTCCCGGCCGATGCTCAAGTCTTCCTCCTCCGTCAAGCGCCTCGGACTGCTACCACAACTGTCGAGCAGGCCGAAACTTACCTGCGAACGGAGAGGACAGAGATGGCGCTCCGAAAGTCTCTCCCGGGTTCACCGCCCCTCGCAAACGCGGCAGACAACACGTCGTACTGCTCGACCTCCGACACCGTTGCCTCAGTGTAGTAACGATCCATCGAGTCTGTGGTGGTGCAGCTCACCCTTGGCGTGATTGCTCAGCTACAGCCAAAGACTCGCAAGAAACTAACCGTTTGTTACTTGGTCACTTCCGCGTGTGTCAACGTGCAACAGCGCCAACGTGACACAAGTCGGAAATCCGTGGGTGGTGTAACTGTAACTTGTGTAAGTACCACCACAGCACCAAACAGTCATTCTGTTCGTGAGTGCGATGCTGACATGGACTCTCCATGCAACTCCATGTACTTTCTACATGACTTGTATTCTGTACTCGTAGAGTCGCACTGTGATCTCTGCGTCTTGCTCTTTGTGCTCACACTCCTTCCACATAACGCATGGTTGCGCTCTTTCTCTGCTGGCTCTAGTATCAAATGCTCCAGTCTATTTGGCCTCTTTGCCCTCTGTTTTCACTCTTTGCTTGAAAGGGGAGATGTTATATCATCCGTATCATGCCTGTCATGATTGTCTGAAGCTATTGTCTGTGTTGTGGTGGACTTCACTCTTTAGTGCTATTGACTGGCCTTTCGTACAATACCTATTGATGTCTAGAGACATACTGTCTAGCCTTCCCCTCGTGCGCTTATTGATACACTATCCAGCTGTCCAGTGGCTCTCCTTCCACCGCTCTCTATCTCGCTATACTCTTCTTCACACTCTATAAGTTTGTGTCTTCTCTACAATAAAATCAGTTCAGTGACTGAGGAGTTCGAGATCACAACAACCTATACTTGCTCACTACCAAAACTGGTCACGTGGGTCTCCCAGGGAGAGGGGAGGGAGACTCAAAAGGAATCTTGGAAAGACGACTCAACTGGCTATTGAACCGCCCAACGGCCCACACCCCCTGAAATCCCCAAACTATGGGTGGACTTGGAAAATGATCCCACTTATGGCCTCACCAAACCTCAGTAAGTGGGCGAGGACCAGGTGCAGAAAAGGGATTGACGGCATCAGGGTATCCGTCCAGGGATCCAACTGCAGTCACCCTTGCCCCCAGTGAAGGTAATACTTGCTACAAGTACTAGTGTGGGTGGCTAAATCAGAGTGGATCTGATACAAGCTTCACTAGCACCATTGATTACACAAGAGTGCACACACACACACACACACACACACACACACACACACACACACACACACACACACACACACATCCGCACGCGCATACCACCCCTTCAGGGACACAAGCATAGCCAACGCTGGCTAGTACACATTCAGTTCATCCTCACCTATTGTATGGGCGACACGTCAGCGGCAAGTCTGCTTTCGGCGCATTCTGTTCTTCCAAGCGCCCCTGCTTGCAGAAGACATCGTCAAACATAATCGGATCACGGAGCACTGCAGACGTGATGTCTTGCCGACGTGTGCCGCTGGCAAGAAACAACAAGAAAACGGGGAACATTTGCTTTGAATTACGACACTTTGAAGCGTACCTTTGAGATCTCCACCGAGTGCTTATGTGGAATTCCGGGGTAATGTATACTCAAGATAGACGCACCCCAGGTAGATTAAGCAGTAGATGAAGTGCAGGTTCCAGTACAGTTTCCATTGCCAGTGACACTATTGAGTACTGCTAGCACACTTACAGGAACGACTTGAACTCATTCTGCTCACGGGTCACCGCTTGCAACGTTGACACCGACGCAACAATACGATGGCTTGTGTTCCTGATGAGCAAGCAAACAAGGCAACAAATTAAACCAATTTCCAGATGTAATCTGACACCCTGAGCCTGCTATAGTATATTCAGTCATCCTCTACCCCGGTCCTGTGCTCAAGCACGCTCCATACACACAGTCTATTCTTATAAGGAAGTGCAGTGGCAGATTCCAGTGGAGATGTGTATGCTTCTCGCTGGCTGAATATTTGAAATAAACGAGAAGTATTGTTCTTTCCAACGACGAACATCTGCGGTACGTGTTTTTCGTTTTGTTTTCGTTTCTATCAACACGGCGCACCGCCCACGTGTACGTGAACAACGCACCGCCCGTTTCACAACACACCACCCACTTCACAGCGTCCTCTGCCGCGACTACACATCGCTAGTAGTATACATAGTCTCTCAATGTGCCCACTCACGGCAAGCGAGGCAAGTTGAACTCCCGCGTGCGACTCATTCTTCTTTCCCATGCGCACGAGCAGCTTCTGGTCTAGCGATCAGGGAAGGGACATCCGATAAACAAGGAGAGATCCTGGTAGTCCAAGCAGCGGCTTCAAACGGCCTTCACCACGAGGCGAGGCGTCGAGAAATGCTTGCCTCCACCGCCAACAGGCTGAAGAGTGAAGTAAGTTACTAACTACTTTGCTATGGCGTTTCCTCTCCTACTCTGGCAACCTCACATCTCGGGCAGACTGCGGACTATATTCACCAATAAACTACCGCTTGTCCTGAAAAGCTGGAAATCTCGCTCGCCACTGCACTTACTGACTTAGGTAAACACAGTCTAATAATTGATTTTTTGTTATCGCAAGAGCAGAAATTCCTTTTGACCGCTCCTACCAGCTAACAGCAGATCTACTACGGAATGTAATCTGCACTACACAGCTGTCGCATGCTCGTAGCCTACTCGTCTATGCAATGACCATGCAATGCCTTCACAAGGTTTGGCGAGCACCGCCACTCTACTGAAACGAAGTCGGCTGGACGTGGAGTCGAGTCGTGGAGTTGGAGTCTAGTCGTCATGGTCGTAGGAGTAGGTGGACGACTCGACCATGTCGACATGGCATCGGCCCCAGCACAGCAGCCTAGCCATAGTTAGGTGACGCAGTGGGTGACAATCTGGTGTCAGGACAGTAGATGTACGGTCATGTTCGTCATGTCCGAGCCCGAGGTTCAGGCCGGTCAGGAGTCGGGGGCTTGGTCACTCATCGACATCATTCTGTTTAGCTCAGCTGTGTTTGAACCGCGAAGATCACCGCGTCTCGTGGCCTACTGTTGCCAAGGACTACCATGACTCACCTGCTGCATGTACTGACTGCACTGACACCTGCTAGCTCCAGTCTAGTCCAGTCTTATCTGTGGCAGTTGTGTGTCTTCGTCGTCGTACGCGTCGAGGTTGAGTACAGCTACATGTATACAGACAGTACAGGGAGTACAGGGAGCCTTGAAAAGCAGGCCTTTTCACCGTTTTGACTTTGAGAAAATAGCAATCTAGGAAAAGCCGTGAAGGAAAGGCCATGACTATCGCCGTAGTAATAGTATCGGACGCTGCAGCAGACTGAAGTCAAGAGCACATCCTGGTACGGACTCGGTACATCTGGGGTGCGTTTCCACCCTTGTACCCATCCGAGGGCTGCAGCGGCTGCATGAGCCTTGCCGCTGCCTTCGGCGCGGGGGTCGGATTTCTTTGACCACGCCTGAACATAGAGGGTCATCTCATACGTACAAACGGTGCTGATCAATGAAATCCGATCGTGCGAAGCACACTGGGCGCCGAAGTGCCGAGTCCCAACACATAACACTCCGGCATGAGTAGGCCATTGCCATTGGCATTGGTACTTGGTAGTAGACGGACCTGGTAGACATGGTAGACTGAGCCAGGCTTTAGCCTGTGTAGGTGAGAAGACCCTCCGAGTCTCTCATATTATCAGTCACACAAATGACCCTGGTGACCGCTGATCTGTAGCTGTACTGAGCAATATCACAGGTGCGGTGCCAGGGCTGTCTCCGTGACCTCTGTCTGCTGTGAAGCTTCCCTCGTTCATTGAGTCATCGGACTGATGTACTGACCGTCTGTGGCTGTACACACGAGTGAGGCATCTCGAAAAACAGACTCAGCATGACTGTGTGTGTACGTGTGTGTAACGACCATGCATCGGTGCGACAGTGGTTCGGTTCAGGATTTGACCCGACGACCATGCATATCGGTGGTTCGGTTCAGGATTTGACCCGCCTGGCACGAAACTGGCCGACAGGCTAAGTGTCGAACATCGTCCCACCAATCAGCGCTCTGCTTCCCGGAAAGCTTCACGAGCCCGCGCCACACAGCCACGCCAGCCTGCGCTATCTATCGGTTTACCGAGCTAGATCAGCTCGCTTCCCACGCGCGAATGCAGCCAGCCGCGTCGTCAGCCGCGCGTGGGAAGGATCCCGAACTTTCTTCCTCAGGCTCAGTTTTGGTTCTTGGTGCGCGAAGGGAAGCTGTCTTTCTCTTCCTCCTGAATTTTCGAAAGTGCTTTAGCAAAACCAGTTTTCCTGGGGAGAATCATAACACGGCTCAGCTATGGTCCTTATCATGAACGTCTTGTGAAAAATTGAGCCGAATCGGTCGTCGCTAACTCGTTCAGCTCCCACGCATTGCGCGGTAGCAATGGCCGTCGAATGAAGTCGGCGAAGATTTAGATAGTCGCAGCCAGCACGTCGGGCGGAGTGCTGTTGTAAAGGTTCCGAATCTGTGCCGAACTACTGGTAAGTAAGAGGTCCGAAGTGAAAAGGACCGTTCTATCGCCCCACTCCATCTTCGTGTGTTGTGGCGGGCGTGCGTGCGTGCGTACAATAAGCGGCAAACTTATTCGTTCTTCTCCTGACAAAATCCCGCTTGCTTGTGTTACTTGTCCGTGTTCCTCGTGAGGTTTCTCACCAGCCACTTGTGTTAGTGATGCCTGCTTTTGGTAAGACTTGGTGGGACGTTATCTTTTGTGTATGACTTGCAGCAACTCGGGACCGCTAAGGTGCTCCTACCTTCAACTGTTCAAGGTGTATACCTCCGAGCAGGCTCCTCGTGGGCAAGCACATGGATGCAAGTGGCTATGGATCTTCGCATCTTCTCTGGTCATCGATCGATGCACAGTTGGTTTGGTCTGGCGAGATATTTTTTATTTTGCCAAGTCTGCAACGCATACACCGGCCAGCCAGTTACCGCGCCACTGCAGGGTTTGCCCTACCACGTGAACCGCGAGTTCAACTTCTTAGGCGTCGAGTTTCCTGGTGAGTTCCAGTTATAGCCATAGGCGTTGAATTAATAATCCGTGTACGTGATTGCACATAGGTGTTCTAATACACAAAAATCTATCTGTTTTCAATGCGAATTGCTTGGGCAAATTGAGCATCCATATTATCATAATGTGGCCATTGCCGGTGTTCCACTGTGCGTTCACAGGGCTAACCGGTTCCAACCGCCAAAGAAGAATACCACGTGGTAATGTACTGTGGTCCCGCATGTACTTGGATAAATTCTAGTGCCTTGGCAGGGTCCCCCTCCCTCGACTTTCGAAAAAGAAAGAAAGTTCTTTCGACTCGGTTCCGTGCACCTCCCAATACTGGCAATAGGTTCCTGCTCCTACTGTGCATGAAGTGTGTGTGTCTGTGGAGGGGTTATACTACTTGTCGTAGTCGATACGACTGTAGTCCTAGCATTAGCTATCGGTTATCCGGTTGCGAGGTCATGCTACGGCGCAGACAGGCGGAAACGCCACGGAAAAACTCTTCCATAAGTGTCAGTGTAGTCGATTGCGTCAGAAGCTCCACTTGGTTCGATTGAGAACAGTGCTGACTGATTCCTTGTCCAGCAGCTTAACGCTGCACCTTATCAGTTTATGATTTCTATTCGTTCTCTTCTTTTGCTGTACTAACCTAATGCGTTGATGATGATAATGGTAAACCGCTAATGCTAAACTGAAAGCTAACCCAAACTAATCCCAATAATAATAATAATGGTAGTGTTGAATGAACAAATGGTTGCTGGAAAGGAATCAGTCTGCATGCAAGCGGATTCGTTTTTGTTGTAAAAGCAAGATCTTGTCTTTTAACGATTTCGGCAAATTGGAAGCAACGCCCAGCTCCCCTCTTCAAAGCTATGTTTTCCTTCGTTTGGAAGGAACAATTTCGAATCAGAGGGAAGTTCTGTATTTGTGCTGTAGCAAGATAGCGATAAGCCGTTGTTCAAATAATTATGACCTAGCAACTAGGTAACCGATGATAAACAAAAGCCGCGCCTCCCTGTGTATGTCCACAGGGGCCGTCCATCAGTAGGCGAGTCTGCCAAGATGGGTGGGTTGGTTGGTTTGCAAGGCACATAATCCGAGCACCATAAGGGACAGAAACCGTGCCTACAGTGCTGTGTAGCTATGTTGTGCTTTCAACTAGTCGAGTGTCCTTGTCAGCTTTGATTAATAAAGGGAATGTGCCCTTGAAAGAACAATGTATCGCGGATGGTTCTTCTTTCACGAATCCTAGGCCAAAATGTTCATATCCAACATCATTTTTTGCAGACGTAGTGCTCAAGAACCTACCAAGAGGTAAATACTTTCACCGGAGATTCACTATTGCTCCCAACTTACATCCAGCCAGCCTGTAAACGCCGGGCAACAATTGTGTGGGGCGCTGGCATGCCAACATGTGTGTTCAGAACTGTTCTGACGTTAGGGACAACGGAACCCGTATCTTGTGTGTGTGTGAGAGATTACAGTACATGCCAGTTCTTTTACAGAAGGTGCTGCTGCTGTTCAGACCATGTGTTGGGCCAAGGATCAGGTCTGCGATGGCTCTCATCATAGTTCAAGATCATCTTATACTGCGTGATGCACGGGGAAGCACCGCGTTATACTGGTCGCAAGTCTCCGTGCTGTGGTTTTGTTTGTCTAAGGGTGCCTATTTTTGTGGCACCAATGGGTTCTTCTTTCGACCAGACGAGACCGCATATGATTTCAGACATTAGCAGGTCCATGCCGGACCTGTCATGTGGTATTGTCTGTTCAAAAGAAGAACCTATTGCTATTGCAAATCGATGGGCCTGTCAAAGATGATATTGAATTTTTTGTTCTGTCATCACCCTTCATCGTACATGAAATGAATTCCACTTGTATGCTTGGACTATGTTGACAAAACTGTGTTCACATGTGGCCTACTGTAGCAACCGGATATTTTCACAGAAATATTTCCTTTGACTGGAAGGAGCAGTTTCATCACAGGAAAGTTCAGTAAGGTAGTGTTGTAGCAAGAGAGCGATAAAGCGTTCTTCGAAAAATGACCTAGCAACTACTTCAGAAGTACGAGTAGGTAAGCGATGAAAATCACAAAAGCCACCTGCTTATGTATGTCCAATGGGGGTCATCCATGCGTAGGTGAGTCTGTCAAGATCGATGAGTGGGTAGGTAGGTCTACGAGGCAAACCCAAGCACTGGAAGGGACAGAAAGTGTACCTACAAATATCTCTAGCTATTTTGTGCTCTCGACTTGTCAAATTGTCCTCGTCAGCTTTGATAGATCAAGAAAGTGTGCCCTTAGAATAACAATGCATTGTCGAGGGTTCTTTGTTCCTGGATTCTGGATCCTAGGCCGAACATTTTTTTCGTATCCATGATTATTTATGCACACAGAGTGCTCAAGAACATAGGAAGATGTAGGATGCTTTCAACGCAGATACCTTCTTCCAGCCCACCTGTAAACATCTTGAAACAATTTTGTGCGGGGATGAAGCCAAATCCGACGAAAAAGGAAACGGGGGGGGGGGGGTGCATTTGGGGATTCACCACAGGCCTTAGCCTAAATCAAAAAGAAGGGATAAAGCCACTTCCGACAAAAAGGAAGCATGGTGATTGGTTTGCAGCGGTGTGCCGACACGTGTGTTCAGGAGTGTTCTGCTGTCGTCATGGACGGC